ACTTTAGACGACGAAGGAGCGGGTTGACTCGCGCCGTCCTCCTGCTCCATGCTATCGGACCCCTTTCAGATAAAGGGAGCTGGCTATTAACTTAGCTTGCTGTACGGTGGCCTACAAGGCCAAATTCTATGGTGACGGGTGGACACGTAATGCCATATGCAGTACACTTGGGAGTAGGAGCGGAAAGAAATAAAAACACATTTTAAAATTGATTTGGGGGCTTTTAGAATCTATTCAGCATCGTCAGGACTAAGAATCTAGATTATTTAACAAATCAATTTTTTTCTGCACCCTTACCATTAATATCCCCTCTTTTTGCTGCGTATACCTTGTGTTTTGCTAACATAGCTACTTTTTGCTAATTTTAGCAGCCGTCCTGCTCCTTTTTAGTTTTTAGGTTTTGTTCTGCATAATCCAACTGTTTTATGTTCATTTCAGCTTCTGTTCTGTTAAAATATTAACCCAAGGATTAACTGAGTTATATCAATGTTTTTTTCTTGTCAGATTAAATCATGTAATATTGAAATGATACACTCAAAAAAGTAAAAGTAATAAAAAGCCTCTGCAGGATCCGTGCTCCTTGAGTTCTCCAGTTTGTCAACACGTCTAATGGTTGCCACTGAAGATGGGATGAAGAAAGACTGACCATAAATCACATGATCCCCCTCCCCTAATCTAACCCTCAGGCAGAGGTCAGGCCAGGCCTTTTCTTTATGACCCTCTTAAGGCAGTCGAGCAAAGACTCAGTTGACGTCATCTACCAGCTGTTCATGTCATACTAATTATTTAAACCTAAACTTTGTTGTTTTATTTTATCAGAGCTTAATGCTCTTCAGTTGTTCATAAGAAAAACTGCATTGGATTTCTTGTCTGCACACTATTCATTAAATCTCCAACATTAACTCAGCCTGTATTGGATAAACTTTGGGAGATCCTCAAGGACCGAGTGATTTTATGTTCATTAACCTTGTGTTTTTTTATTTTCCTCTCCATTGTGAACCATATGGCTGTTTTTAAGTATGACCAGTTAATTTAGATGCAGTCTTATGGCGCTTTGCCACTATCTCAACTCTCATCAGACACCGCACCAGTTATGGCCTGCCCACAGCTGGCACCCACCCCCACTCAGCCCAGTTTATGAGACCATCTTATTTGTGGTTCCAAGCGAACTGCTCCCAGGTGATGATTATGATGTAAGCAGGCAGCAGCTGTTGATTGCCCAGCGGAGCTATGTCACTGGATGACCCACCCAGCACATACATGTCAAGTCTTATGGATCTTCCATAAATTATATGTATTTTCCCCCATTTTTCATGACAACGGACGTACAGAGAAAGTCTTATGGATTTTTGAAAAACTCCGCTTCAAATTTATTTTTAAAGTCTCAGAGCCAACACGCCTCCGCCACAGCATCCATCTCCCCCACGTATTGCGCGAGAGCACTACGGATTTTGTAATTAATTTTACAGATTTCTGAAGGTTAGTATACAAGTAAACATCCCAAGTGGTTGACGTGTACTGCAAAGTACATCTGAACCACCATTTCCTGTTTGATCGTCACATAGCGTGTGGTTAGTTTGTGCATTTTAGTTTTTGGTTCAGTTTGGAAGCTCCAAAAACAGTGCTGTGGACCAGTGATGATGTCCAGACCTTTCTGTATTTTTTGGTGGATCCGAGGGATCGGCACAAGTTGGATGGCGTTACAAGAAACTGCCTACTTTGCGTTGACGATCCTGCCAAAAGAGCAGTGACAATTCACCTACACCCGAGAAGAACTGATGACGAGAACTGAGTTGAATCGTGCTTAGAGTATCAATGAAGCGGCTTTATTGTTGTAAGCTGCAGAGTTGCAGTGTTGCAACACAAAACAGTAATTAGTTTATTCATTTTCTTTTTTTCCAATTGTCAGCCTGCATCATATACAGTATTGTGCCATTGTGGTGCTAAAAATACAATTATTGCCTCATTTTTGCAACAGCTCAGGGATACTCATCACATGTGGGTTTATTTTCTGAAGCTGGCAGCTGATCATATAAAAGTGATCCGGCAGAATGAGCTTGTTGAGCTGAGCAGCTAAAGTCTGAAATAAAGGCCATCTGTGACAAAATGTGTTACACACAGTACTCCCAGAGCCATCTCGTTATCCTCTTAGCAGCTCTGATCCTGGAAAATTCTGTGATCTTCCAAAGACTGAGGAGACCATTGACCACACAGGCGTGCAGCGTAGTTAATCGATAACAGACACGACAGTCTGTTTGTTGCTACTGCTGCAAAGAGACGAGTCATAATTTATAGCCACTGTTGACCTTTATTCAGAAGCTGTCAATAAAAAAAAAAACAACCTACAAATCGTTTTATTTTCCAGGACTGGATGTTGAGCTTTAAGGCTTGTTGAGTCTTGACTGAGAAGAGTCTTTAGCGTTGAAACGATGCCTAACCATGCAATAAGTTAAGTTAGTTTTTGTTAAAACAGTTTTGAGTGGCTGTGTTTTGGTTTCCTCGTTTTGCAATATACGGTGCAGCATAATGTATAGTATATAGATTTGAACCTTAATCCATTGTATTTTTTTTACAAAGCACCTAATTAAAAAAAAAAAAAAAGATCAGCAGTGGTGGCAATATTTAGGCGCACCTGGATGTGTTTGGATTATGATTCAAAGAGGGCTGAAATGTGATTATAAAATAAAATCCAGCGCATTAAACCTATTCAAAGTTCTTTATTGTCATTCTCATCACGTGGTACATGAGGTGGAACGAAAATGTGTACTCAAGGTCCCATTTACATCCAACAATAGCAAAAATATAAATTGTAAAAGAAACCGTAATAAGGGTCTAAGATATAAACTAAGAAATACGCTAAACACTAATAGTGCAAAACGATATGCCAAACAACAGCACGAACATGAGTCTGTGTCAGTAGATGAGTATGAATGAATGCAGCAGCATGAAATAATCAGCAGCATGGATAATCAGCAGCACATATCACCATTGAAAGTGGCATTACAGTGATTTATTTTTTTTTTTAAACAATTTAAAAAAAATTAGAACTAATGAACAAACGTAGTCAAAAATGTTGTCTATAAAGATATCTGCCATCTGTTTCTTCTTCTTGGAAAAGACTTGCACATGGATCAGCTTTTGTCAACATACTTTTTCCCATCAACTTTGTAAAAGTCAATACTTCCCACCACTGGCTTTCAATCCAGAATGAGCTGTTTGTTTCTGTCAGCCTTGTCCTCCCTCCGTGTGCACACCAAAACCGATCTGGAAGCTGTACTTCCTCACTTCAGTGTTTTTCTTTTTGCGTTTCTCAAACAGACTTTAATGAATAATCTATTTCAAAAATATTTTAATTCTGAAATGTTTGTGTTTACATTTTGATGCATCAAAAATAGATTATACCCCTACCCCCATTAGTGTTGAGCAGGGCTTAATTTGTAGACCGATCGATGCCGGAATGCAAATGGCAGGCGGACCGGTGGGGATGGGAGGTCTGGGTGTCCTCTCCCAGAAAATTTTGAATAAAGTAGATGCAATTTCCTGCATTTTTGTGTATTTTAACAGGTTGTTGTCTACGTTTATCTACATTTGTAAACACTCCACTTCTGTCAAACATCCTACCCCCCCACCCCCTTACTTGACGGTCCGAGCCCAACACTGTCCCTGCTCGTTGTTGTCCGGCTCCGCATGTGAAACCTCCAGGCGCCTTCTCCGTCAGTTCATGGCTGCTGCCTGTTGGGTCCTGCCCGCATACGACTGCCTGGTTAGCTCGGCATTCGTCCCCAGCACTCTTTTAGGGGTGGAGATTGTTTTTAAGGGTAGACACAGAAATGAAACTTGAAGGGGTAGCTCACATGCCCGTAAGTGGCTGTTGTGTTTTAAAATGAGTGTTTATGTAAATGAGTCCTCAAGGCTCAATGGGATTTACCTGTCTAAATAAAGGTTGAATGAATGTAGTTATTTTCAGTTTACATATTCAATATAAGTTTTATTCATTCAAGGCAGTCATATTTGTTCATAACTTTAGTATTAGTAAGCCTGAGAGTTACCGGATCTATGCAAACCGTTAGCGGAACGCACCCTGTCAAAATAAGAGAGTTCCCCGATCCTGTTCCAACAGGAGCTGGCTCAAATTAAGCCCTGTTGTTAAGCCACTGATAAAACTTTTGCATTACCGGTATATTAATCTGTGAAACGGGTGGAAAAAATGTTTTGTGTTAAAAGCTTTAACTTGTTGTTGTAGAAAAAAATACTGATTCACAGACGATCAGGTGTAGACTTCATCAAACCTTTAATTTAAGAAAACAGTTTCACAGAAAGTCAAAACATCAGTTTGAGTCTGCCTGTTCTGCTGGTTTTGAGCTGTCCCTACCTTACGAAGTTACATCGGTTGTTTAAATAGTCCCACAGATTGAGGAAAAGATGAACGTATCTGGCAACCCACATAGATTGACACAGACGGACAATTATCACACTTAACATAATGTTCAGTTTCATTATGACAGAGTCAAATATGGCATTATGAACTGTACAGGAAAATAATGTACAAAACATAAACATGGCAACGTACCAGAAAGCAGATGAATAAATATACTTCCTCACACTGGTAATCTTTGCATTGGATGTGTAGCAGAGGTTTGGAGCATTCAGCACTGCTGTAAATGCTGCTGATGTTTTTTTTTTCTTCTTTCTTTCACTTAACAGCCAAGCTGACCTCACGTTATGTGAAGATCTGTATTTTCTGCCCTCACTTGATCTGTTTTGGGTACTACAGTGGGCCTCGTGTTCATTTAATGCACCTTTTTTAATTCAATTGCTTTGTGGTTCTGTTTGTATGTGAGGGCAGGTTTAAGCTGCAGGAGGAAAAATAATGATGGAATGGATTATTATTATTATTATTATTTTTTTGCAGACAAGTGTTCAAATGCTGTTTTGCCAAGTGATGCACTTTTTTCGGTTATGGTTCTAACTTCAAACTTCTTTCTGTCTTCCTTTCTTAGACGAAGACTCATCTCTCAGCGATCTTCGCTCGAAACTCTAGAGGACATTGAAGAAAACGCTCCTCTACGCAGGTAAAAAAAAAAAAAAAAGACCTCCATGCTCACTGTTTCTGTTTAAAATGAAACCTGCAGCTTTTTTTTTTTCCTTTATATGCTGATGCTGTTGTCTGTTTTTATTTTAGATGCCGAACCCTATCGGGTTCACCCAGACCAAAGAGCTTTAAGAAGATCCATTTAGTAAATAACATGAAGCAACACGATATGCGCAATGGAAGGTACGGAAGACAAACAGTGCCCGTGTTGAGTCAATACAAGTCTTGACTGAACGATGGCAGGCTGCCCCAGTCAATGAAGTGCAGTTTGAATGTTTCTCACATTACAGGCGAGCAGGCCCGGTCCAGTCCATTCACTTCACTGACTTTGAACAAGCCTTTTTTTTTATTCTTCATATGATCACAGTTTAACTGTTGAAATCACACCATCAGTGAGTCTCACTGTTGAATGCTAAATCATTTTGCCACAGTTTTCACCAGCATGATCACAGCACGCAAATCCCTCGTGTCAAAAAATGTCTGGCTCATTTGTTAAAAATTTAAACGGATATTGTGTAGTACCAATGTTTCTGACCTAAACTGGTTATCCCAACTTTTAATTCATTAGAAATATATGATAGCTCAGTTGGTTTTAGTTCTTGTGGGTTTGTGATGTGGTTTAGTTCTGCGCTTTTATTGGATTTTGAACGTTTTTCCATTACCTCTTTAATTGTATTTGGACATAAATATCCTGGAATCTGTCAGGGTGCTGCAGCACCCTCCACTCCCATACTTCCCACAGCTTTGTCTGTGAATCACAGATAAATAAAATGCAACTAAACTCAACACCAATGTTGTCTACAGACAGCCTACTTGGCAAATAACTTTGTTAGTGCCATTCAAAATGCATAAAGTAGACAAAATAAAAACAGATTGTACACTTATTTAAAAAAATGTTAAGTTTTCAGGTAAGAGCTTTTAAACGATAATTAAAATGGGGCCAAAATACAAATGCATGTCTGTCTAGATATTTTCTAGTTTATGCAACTACAGAAATTGGACCAAATTGTGTCTTCTTGACAGACTGCCAGTATTAAAGAGCCAAAAGTTGTGTGGTTAAAATATTTTTTATGTGTGTGTTTTCTTGTTTAGACACGACTCTGGTTAATTTGCTGAATTTAGGAGTTAATTTATGCTAAAATAGTATAGTTTAGTAATAAATGGCTGAAAACAAAACTTTCTTGACTACATTTGTTAAAAGTAAAATAAAATACATTGATGTTCCAAAGAAAAGTTTAATTTGATGACTTTAAAGATTTTAATTCCTTACAAGAACCATTTTAGGAGTTGATTGAGACTTTTGCACTCTGTTTTAGCGGTTCTACTGTACATCAAAACACAAACTCCTACATTTTAAATGATTCTTGTCGTACAATAATTTATTTGCAAGCTCTCCGACTTGAAGCTGTGGATTTTTGATAGCTGCTGATGAGCTTGTTTACCATTTTTGTTTTTGTAGGATAGTCCTTATCAGTGGCAGAAGATCCTTCTATAGTGTATTTTCTGTCCTGCCCTATCGAGATTGTAGCCAAGCAGGGTATGTATCCAACAGCATGCCAAACTTTTGTAACTTCGTCCAACCTGTGCTCCCTCTTTCCCTTTTGTTTTTCATCCCTCTTTCCTATGCGAACAAACTTGGTTTTGGTGGAGGCATTTGTTTTTCAGTAGTTTAATATTAGTTCAAATAACTTAATAGTTCTTAAAGTGATAGTTCAGATTAAATTTGCTGTTGACACCTCTTTGAACTTCCTCGGTTTGGATAAATATTTAGACTCTGACCAAATTGATGAGCTAAAAACTAGTCTAGGTAGCCAATTTACATAAATGTTTCTTACCGTATTTTTTGCCATATAAGTTGCGCCTTTTTGTATAAATTTTCACGTCCTGCGACTAATATACATTCCCCCCCATATTTATAGCCCAATTTTTGGCAGAGATCTGACAATTTCATTCATTCTGACATGAAAAAATATTAAATATCATTTGCAGCCGCCAGAGGGCCCTCGAGCCTTATGGCAAGCCAAGTGTCTCATTAATAGGTAAAAGTGGCTATTAATGAGACACTTGGCTTGCCATAACAAGCCACCTTCGTCTCGCTCTGGTACTCCTGGAGCAAATGTCAAATCGGCTGCATTTGGCCTCGCTGCCCTGGAGAAATGCAGCTGATTTGACCATTAAAGTGCATTTATTAAGGAAAAGTTCAACTGAGACACATCTTTACTATAATTTTGAGCAAACAAATAATTGTTTTTAAGTGTTAATCTTGTAAAATTCTTGTTAAAATCCTCCTGTGTGTGCTCACGCAGTTGCCATTTTGGCAGCCAGTCGATTTTTGGCACAACACCGGCCCACATTTCCGGGTGGTCAGCGGTGATGCGTAATACAGTAGATGCGACAAAACGACTCATTGATGTATTGTTCCACTTTATTAGACATTTTTGGACTGATGCGACTTTCTTGGCAGACAATACAGTATTCGGAGTACAAACAATAGCAGCTAGCAGTAGCATGTCCAGTACTGCCTGGATCATCAACCATATTTCTACTGCTATGCAGAATGGGAGTTTGCAATATGGGGAGTGGTGGCGTAGAGGTTGGAGAATGTGGGCCTGTGATCGGAAGGTCATCTGTTCAACTCCCCAGACCGACAACATCAAAATGTGGGTGGGAAAGGTGAAACGGCCACACTTTCCTCCATTTGCCCCACCTTGGGCCCCTGAGCAATGTCCTTAACCCCACCTAGCTGGCAGCCCCCTGCTCCTTATGTGTGCTCACATGTGCGATGGGGAAAAATGCAGATAATTTCCCCATTGTAGATTAATATAGTACGATAAAAAAGGATGATGTAAATGTTTATAAAACTTTCAGAAATTACTTTAATCTTGTCCTCACCTGTTTTGGTCAGAACTAATCTTTTTTTTATTTTTTCCAAACTGAGGTTGTTCAACAGTCTTATCTACAACAGGTAATATATTACTTGTTCATTGCCGTCCCATAGAACCCCACTTCAAAAGATCTGAATTATCTCTTTAAGTTGCTTTTATAAGTAAATGATAAAGCTTGACTGTGCAAGCATCTTCTATCTAAAAGACTACGTAGTTTTAAACTTGCTGCTTGTTTTGCTTTTTCCATCAAGGCTCTGGGGGCTTGTGGGGAATCTTTTATTTTCCAGTGTGTTTTCGTCCAGAGAAAGTACGGCTTGCTTTGCTGTTTACCGTGTTAACCGTTGCTGGGCCACTTGCGCTTCTTAGTTTGAGAAATGTGATCCCTAAACCTACTTTATTTCATAGTGAGCTGTTTGATGTCATCCATGCTGGCAGAGTTTCTGTTGCATGTTCACATCATGGCTGTTTATTAACTATTTTTTTTTAGTAGTCTGTGCTGATTTCACGTTTCCTAGCTCTATAACATAAATACTATTTGTCTTAGATGAACATGAAGCCCTTTGTGGAGGCGTTTTACTGTATCTGGCTTGCGATGAGACGAGCTGTAAGGGACATGCTCAGCCTAGTAACTTTAGAAACACAACACGGTGTGTTTTGAAGGGAGAGGAAGGGAAACGGGACAGAAAAACACCAGAGAGGACAATGCACAGAAAGAAAAGCTCCATGCCAGGGTTTAGTGAGGAGCAACAACAAGCTCAGAGCATTTGTGGAATGTCCTAAGCCAGCCAATCAGTGTAAGGTCAAGGGTTAATAAACCCCCCAATGTGCTGCAGAATGCATGTTTCACTGCTTGTTGCAGCCAAATGATAGTTTTCAGCTTCAAAACAATACAGTGAACAGCTTTTAGCACAAACTCCTGATTGCATAGTTTGTCTCATTGTTTCTGATTTTATTCTAGATGTACCCTTTTTATGTTCACTTTAACTTTATAAATTAAACTAATCTGTAGACATAAACCACATGTTTTGACTTCAAATACCCCATAACTTTTTATAGGTTGGGAGGTATGACTAGCTGGACATGTTTAACCTTTAATTATGTAGTATTTCCATCATGTTTGACAGCTTGAAAACTCGGAAGAAACTCAGATTTTCTGTGTACTGTGCGTGTTCTTGGTTTTCTCCTGTTTTTCCGTCAATGAAAAAGGTACACATTATCCAACACGCTTGACATTAGTAAATATTTTGCCATAAAGTGAACATGAATGACTACTATACCATAATGAGTGGGATCAGATGTGAGTAAAACTTATTTAAATCCATTCAGCCTGTTCATAACCTATTTATGTTTATGGTATTTTTTATTCCTAATGTTAAATTAGAACAATTTCAAGGGCATGAATAGCACTTTCCATAGAATGAAACACCAACACACATATCTTTAATTAAAGCCTGTGATCCTTGCATGTTTTTAAATGTTAGTCTTTCCTTTTTTTGTATTCCCAGTAGACCAAAGCAGAACCTTTTTATTATTTGAATGGCTTCATAGGAGAAAACTCTCTCCCTAGAAAGCTTTTCCACATTTTTCCCCCTTTTCCCTTTGAATTTTCCCCGTCTGCAGTGCGCCTGCTGCCTGCAGAGCTCCTTTGCCGTGATGTGTCAACATCGTGTCCTGACGCGCTTGTCTTGATGATAACACTGTTTTCATTACAACACATGGGTCTCGCGTGTCGTCTAAACATTAGGAGAGTCGTGTTGAGATTTGGTCTGAAACGGAGAGCGAGACTGAAGCAGGGGAGATAAGGGAGCAGCAAGAAAACAAAGCTGTGCTGCAGCTTAACCTCTGTTGTCATTTTGAGGTGTTGCCCCTCTACAAATAATCTCAAAAGATAAAAGTTGATTTGCACAAGTGAATTCTTGCCTAGCTATTTGTTGAGCAACGACTGTACTGCAATATTTGTGCAGCCAATAACAAATGCATGAATGTTTAGTCCATATAATTTGAATACAGACTCTAGCTGGCCACTATTTGCTCCACTAATACACATTTTGCTCTTCAACTGTCTGTTTTCCTGCTTTGGGAGAGTGCTAGACTCCATAGGAAATGTCCCACAGCAGTAGGACATCTCAGGTGAGGTAGCTAATTTGTCAAAAGACTGGCTGGCCTACTAGCCCCACACATCTTTCCTCCCAAAGGCACGCTTTATTTCTGACTGCTAGAAATGCACCCAAAGACACCAGCAATTACAGAAACTAGGCCAACTGATGAGCACAGATCGATACAGTGTCTATATCTATAACTTGGGAAGATGCTGTAAAGACAAAGCAAGAGTAGCTGACAAAGATTAGAGAAAAGGAGAGGTCAGAAGAAGCTGCAGTGTAATTTGTTTGGTGTTGGCTCTAAAAGTATTGTGCTCAATAGGGACATAAAGGCAGAAGGACGTCAGCGGCACCCGTCAGGAGGAGTTAGTGCCAAGGAGATGGTGATTGGGCTGGAAGGAGTGGAGTTAGGAGCAGATGGCAAGGTGAGAAACCAATAAAAATGTCTGTACTGTAGGTGATCCACCTTATCATTTTAATTTTTATTAATAGGAAGAACGTCGTAACTTTTAATATACAGTAGTCCCTCGTTTATCGCGGGGTATGTGTATATACAATGTTTCTAAATGCTCTAAAAGAGCACATAATGTCATGATTTCCCCCCCTCTGACTCCGCTACTCTCATTCTTGTCCACGCCCATATTTCTGCTCTGCACGGTGAACAGCTGATCAGCTGCAGGAAGAAGCTTATCCTGCAGCTCTGGGCTGCACAAATATGCAGCAGGTGCTAAATAATTTAAAATAATTTATTTTAAATAAAAATATCATGCCGATCGTGCGGCTCATCCATCAATCAGCCAGTTGTGTGTCTATGTCCGATCTTATTTTGAAAAACCGCAATGAAACAAGTCTGAGATAAATGAACCGCGAAGTAGCGAGGGACTACTGTATACATTTTTATATTTGGGGAATGTAATTCACAAACTTGTCAACATTTTATTCTGAACACCGTTATGTTCTGCCACATGTACCGTACATTTATCTGAGGGTGTTTATTTTATTTGTTGGAGAAAATATGCGATGATACAATTTTATTTTATTTATCGCAATCATATTTTCATTATTTTTCAATTATATTCCTAAATAATTACATTAAAGATTTGTCTATAAAACAAAAGTGTTGATTAATCCTCCAAATAGCTGAATTTAGATTTTGTCAACTATTTTTAGTAACATTTTTCAAAAGCTATATTTGGATACAATACGATACCATATGATAATACAATACAATGATACAATACTATACGATAAATTACAGGATGATACAATATGATGTACGGTAATAAAATATGCAATACAGTACAATACAATACCACAGAGTATGATGCAATATAATACAACTTGAAACAAGAAAATACAATAATGCAAGAAGATGTAGTATGATACAATGGACACAATGCAACATAATACAATACAACTGCAAGACGATACAATATGGTATAATGTACCGTAATTGACACTATATAATACTACAGTTTGATACAATATTTTTATCAAGAATATATGTATGTTTTGGATTCAGTGATGTTTCAATAGCTGTCTTCACATAAAGCAAATAATGGACCAACACCTGGCAACAAAAATAAAAATGGAACGACCACTCTTAGGCAATGTAAATATATTCTGTAGCTCATTTGTTAACTTAAACTCACAGAAACAGACTCTGACTGGGGCGCCTAAAGTTATGCACATTTCATCAGGAAATCAAGCAAGCTTAATTTTTTTCTCAGACAGATATATTACAAGTACATTTGTCTTTGTAGACTGTGTCCTACACCCAGTTCCTGTATCCCACTAATGTGTTGGGAGGTCGAAGAAACACGATCGACTCCACCTCGTCTTTCTCTCAGTTTCGAAACGCGAGCCACCGCAGCCTCAGTCTGGGCAGAGCCAACAGCAACCAGAGCAGCTTAGACACAGGTTCGTGGGTCATTGACGTGCATTTAATTTATTATGGATGTTCGTAAGCGTCACGCTTGGCTAAAATGTACATTTCTCTGAAACGTGGCGCTCTGGTTAAGCCGCAGTTTTTTGTTTGCAGGGAATGACTTAGGGGAGTTTCGGGAGTATGACCCCAACCTGTTGGATGATCCGCAGTGGCCTTGTGGAAAACACAAAAGGGTTCTCATCTTCCCCTCCTACATGGTGAGAAAATACTTGACCACATCCAACACACCACTACCAGCAGCAACAACAAAAACAACCTCTGTCCTGCCCTCTCGAGAGCGAGTTGAAACGTTTGTTCTCATTCAAAACGAACCTGAACGGAGGCTCGTTTCTACTGTCCTCTCCAAATCTCTGTGATATTTCATGGTTTATGCCCATTATCTGAGGGCTGTTTTCTTTTTTTATCATCAATGTTGACCTTTTGTGCTCAAGTCTTCACACCACAACTAAGAACAATAACGCCGGAAAGATTTGTTTGCAGTTTGCTTCTAAAACGGAGAAATTTCCTGAAGATTATCAGCTGCTTTTTTTAAAAAAAAGGAGTGAGGAGGATGTTTTAGACCATCTTTAATCTGCAAGGTCAATAGTGCCGTCTCCCTTTCTCGTACCATACAGAGCCTGAATAAACAAAAATACGTCACCTCTGGGATGCAGAGAACAAAAAGTCACTAACGGCACCTTGTTTGTGCTTTTGTAATATTTTTAGCTGTGTTCTGATAAACAAGTCGATGTTTTATTGTAGCTGGAAAAAGAAAAATGAAGAAAAAAGTTTGTTTTTGCTGCAGAGACTTGCTGAATTCCCAAGGACTGACAAACTGAAATGTTAAAGGCAAGGCTGAATATTTTTTCTCACTTCCTCTGATTACAAAACTCAGCATCTGACAACAATAGCTATTGTATTTACTACAGCAGTGGAACCAGAACATTTTTGCATTCCAAGAGCACAGTCTGCTTGCAAGATAAGGCAAAGATCTTGCAAATTAACGAGCGACAGAAAAGATAAACGTGATGCTTATTTTTTTTTTTTTTTTAAGCTAAATCTGTTAATTAGTTTATCAGGGCTTGATCTTCTGAGCACAGGGTGTCTCCACACCTCTGCTATAAATGGCAGGTGTTTTGTCATGCAAAGTGGGAGGAAAACAGGAAGACAAAACAGAGCAACCACTTCTCAGAGGAAAGTAATGAAGTCACTCAGAATTTCAGTCTGTCTGCACACAAACATGAGTCACCGTGCTTTTATTGTTTTCATCGTTAATGGGCTGCGGTTTCTGTGCAGAACATCGTCATTTGTATTATCACAATTAGAGAATCATCCAACTAAACCAAGTTTTTAAATGTATCTTTTAGTCTAATTTAGATGCATTTCTTCTTGAGGAAAGGTTTAGTTCTACTACACTACCCAAAAACTAAAACAACAAAAATTAGGTGTGGACAAACCGTCTCTTAATTCTTAAATTCTAGTCTTAAGTTGTTGCCTCCCTGGTCATTTTTGCCGCTTATTTGCCATATTAAGATGTTGTAAACTTGATTTGGACCTCAATTTTGTGCCATATTTTCTCATACATGTTATATTTTATTATTATATATAATAATGTACATATTATTATTATAATTAATGTAGTCTTTCTGTTCTCTGTGGTGCATCTGACACAGTATTTGGTGCAGGTCTCTCTTCTAATCCAGACATTACTATGTTAAAGCAGCAAAACGGCAAATAAAAGCTAAAACTAATAACATGGTAACAGAACAAAATTTAGTAAAGTGGTACTTTAGGTAAAAGCTAAAACCAGCCATTCAGTAGCTCATAACTAAAACCAGCAAAACCATAGCTAAAAGCCAAAATAAGCAAAACTCTAGCTAAGAGCGAAATTTATTAGAATGGTAGCTAAAAGCTAAATTTATTCAAACTGTAGCTAAGAGCTAAAATTATTCGAACGGTAGCTGAGAGATAAAATTATTCGAACGGTAGCTAAGAGCTAAAATTATTCAAACACTATCTAAGAGCTAAATTTATTCGATGGTAGCTAAAAATTGAGAAAGTATGTAAAAGAACATAGTTTGTCATTTAAAGAGCTCTCAGTGTTCTTCAAATTTTTATGAGAAAAGCAAAATAAAATTGAATTAATTTAAAAACTCTAAAAGTTACAAATATCAACAGTCAAAAAGCTGTAATGTGCAAGCTATTAGTCTCCGAACCTGACTGGCTGAAACAGCTGAAAGTATGTTGAAGTTGTTAAATCTAAAATATGTAATAAATATTTTTTTATTTATAACTAAGCAACTTTACATATTTAAAGGCAGATGAGAAATATTTTCTGGTGTCCTCTGTATTTTGATCACATTGTCTTACATTTTACAAAATCTTAAATTAGTGGTTTTATACAAAGGGTCAATATAACAACTCATGGAAAAGTCTGAACCAGCTAATTGCTGTTCTGTTAATAATAATGAAAAACAAGAAGCATAAAACCCCCAAGGTGTTGTATTTAGCACCAGCACCTGAAAGTGTCTTCATTAGCCTGTGGAATCCAACACTGTGGTGTAAAGAACCAGGCTCGTTCCTCTCGGTGATGTAAGTGGGCTCATTTTGATACCAGCTCTGGTTTTCCTTTCAGACCACGGTCATTGAATACGTCAAACCTTTTGACCTCAAGAAGGACATGAACGAGACCTTCAAGGAGAAATTCCCTCACATAAGGCTCACTCTCAGCAAGATCAGAAGGTAAATAAACTATGAACATATACTGCATTTTCCACCTTACGTGTTGCACCGCCCTATAAGTCACATCAGTCCAAATATGTCTAATAAAGTGAAAAAATCCATAAATATGTTGCTTTGCCGTATAAGTCGCTTCTATTATGCGTCACCGCTGACGCGTCGCGTTTGTTACGTGTCACCGCTGACAACCCGGAAATGTGGGCTGGTGTGCCAAAAATCGATTGGCTGCTAAATAGCAACTGCGGAGCGTGCAAGGGAGGACTTTAACAATAATTTAACAAGATTAACATTTTAAAACAATTGTTTGCTCGAAATTATAGTAAAGGTGTGTCTCAGTCTAACTTTTGCTTAATAAATGCAGTTTGACGATCAAATCAGCTGCATTTCAAAAGCTGATACACAGAAGAAGGCGCATGCACGAGAGGACTCATGCATTTCTTCAAAATTTAACAAGATAAGCACCTAAAACAATTATTTGTTTGCTTGAAATTATAGCAAAGGTGTGTCTCAGTCTAACTTTTACTTAATAAATGCACTTCAGTAGTTAAATCAGCTGCATTTTGCCTGGGCGGTGCAGCGAAATGAAGCTGATTTGACAGTTGCTCCAAGCGAGCTGGACAAAGGTGGCAAGTTATGGCAAGCTGATTGTGTCACTAATAGCCACTTTTACCTATTGCATGACACAATGGCATGCCATACTGCTCGAGTGCCATCTAGCGGCTGAAAATGGTAGTGTTCAATATTTTCAGTCAGAATGAATGAAAACAGTCATATCTCAACCAAAAATTTGTTTATAAATATGGGAAGAAATCCATAAATAAGTTGCTTTGACATATAAGTCGCAGGGCATGTAAATTATGCAAAAAAAGCGCAACTTATAGAGCGAAAAATACAGTAATTTTTTTTGAATAATTGAAACACTGGCGAGTTCTTTATAATTATTTTTACTACTTTTTAAATTTTATCTTCACCCTCTCACTGTGTATTTGTGTGTGTGTGAGTGCAGCTTGAAAAGGGAGATAAGGAAACTGGCACACGATGTGTGCGGGTTTGAGGAACCCACTGTGGCCACGGCTTTCGTCTACTTCGAAAAACTCGTTCTTCAAGGCAAACTGAACAAACAGAACCGCAAACTCTGCGCCGGAGCTTGTGTTCTTCTGGCGGCAAAGATCGGCGGCGACCTCAAGAAACACGAAGTTAAGCTTCTTATTGATGTAAGTCTTCTCGTGAACATCTTTTAACATTTATAGTTTTTATTTTTTCTCTCAAAAGTTTCATTTGAGCGGAAAGGTTTTTCTTTTAGAATAACAATAAAGAACAGTGAAGTCACGTTTAAAGTACATCAAACGCATCACAGTTTAAAAACAACTGAAACAAAAGACAGATTATTGCTCCTTTATATGTTTGTGCATCTGCTTATCTGCTGTGTTAGCAAAATATCTCAATAACCACAATAATTGTAATTCAACTAAAAAGGAAATCATTGGATAGTCAACGTCTGGAGTGAACCCAAATCAGAATGGCAGTAATTCAGCCATTTTTACAGATGTTTAGTTCAAATTTGTTGTGGTAGTAGCTAAGAGTCATGCGCAACAGATGCTCTGAGCACTACACATTGCACCACATCATTGTTTAAAGCTTCAGCGGTAACTGTTGGCATCAGCCATCTTTAACTGATTCACATTTTGAGTCAAGTCTAATTCAAGATGGCCGTCACATCTACTCAACATTAGCCAACACAAAAATGGCTATAACTCGATCTGTTTTATAGATATCGAGCTAAAATATATAGTAGTAGCTGAGTCATTCAACAATTTCCTATGGGATTAATAAAGTTCCAACATCTTAACGACACATATTTTGAGCCTGCTATTTTAGAAAAACACACGAGATTGAGCAAAATATTACCGTAATTTCCAGACTATTAAGCTCACCTGAATATAGGCCACGCCCACTCAATTTAAAAAGGAAAAAAATGTGTACATGTATAGGCCACACCTGTATATAAGCTACGAGTGTCCATGTTGTAACGTAAGGTATTTACACAGAAAGATTATTTTAAACTTTTCATTAAATACGTACAGATAACATACTTACTGTATATATGTACAGTAATTTATTTTCTTTTTCTGATCAGCGCCTGAACCGAAGTTTCCCCCTCCTCCCCAGAGGACCAATGAAAATAAGTTTTATTGGTCTACTGTAACCTGTTTGGTTATTTCATTAGTCAGATTGATTTTTTTACCTTTTATTTATAAAAGGATGTAGAATCATTGAGTCGTCATGAGGACCCCCCCCCCAACAGAGACGTGTACTGGGCAGCTATGTTAGCGCCCAGGTGGGACGAGGCTAAATGTTTTGTCGGCATTGAAACTCGTTCGCTCGTCAAAAACAAACAAACCATAAACTATCTGCAGCATTGTATAAACCATGATGTTCAAATTTGTGAAAAAAGGAGCGGTTTATAGTCCGGAAATTACGGCATTTTGAGTTTTGATCCAAACGTCTACAACTCTATTATTTCTTAGCATAAAATTATCTTAGTCTAAAAGTCTGGCATAAAAGGCAGTGGGCGATATGCTTTCCTTCTAAAACAATATACTTATATTTATCAAAACGACTTCCAGAGCAACATGCATCTGATACTCCGAGATCGGTGCTGTTAGTTTAAAATATTCCCCGTCTCCTGAGAGCCGGTGGAAACTGGGCCACGAGGAGAAACCAGTATTAAAGGTGCGCACAGTATTTGTACAATCTGTTACATTTTTTTTCTCAACCATTTTTTTTTTTATCTCTGAGGGAGTATGTTAAAAATATAAACCCCACCGTGGTCTCAGAAGCTGTGAACAAAAACAAACAGCCCCGTTGTTCCCGTTGATTTAGAAACTCTATCGTGAACACGAATCGTCCCTGATGCAGGGAGACGTTGTTGTTGCAGTTTTGAAGCGTACGTGCCTGACTTCATCGTTTAACCCAAACTGGTTGTAGCCGGACATTTAGGTTGTGGGAGGACAACTGCAATCCAACACAAAAACAGCAATTTACTCTCACCTGGCTAACTCGATGGACATGTTTGTATAATTATTATTTACTTTATGAATCAGACATGGAGGTAGTGGTGATGCTGTTGATGAGGTTGTGTGGCTGATTGTGAAACGTGTCTTCTCATCCTCTGTGTTTTTCTCCTGCCAGAAGCTGGAGGAGAGGTTCAGAGTGAACCGCAGAGAGCTCATCGCTTTCGAGTTCCCCGTCCTGGTGGCCCTGGAGTTCAACCTGCACCTGCCAGAACACGAGGTCATGCCCCACTACAGACGCCTCCTGCAGACCTCTTAGCGTTGGTGACCCATCAGGAGGACGGACACCGGGTTCTCCTCCTGATCCCAGCGGCATCCATCCCTCCGCTGCACTCTCTGTGCAGGATGAGTTCATCACTACACAAAACTCGCTCTTTTCTCTTACGACTACAATTTGCCAAAAGATTCACTTTATTTCTTGGTTTCTACGAACATTCCCGCTCTGTTTAAAAAATGTTTTTATTTCTTTTTACTTCTGCAACTCCGGTGCTGAACACGTTGAGACGCTGTATACAATGTAATAAAAACAGAATGCACTGATTTGAAAATTTCATTAATCTACATTTAAAAAAAAAAAAAAAAAAAAGGTTGAGCTTAAATTTTATGGCAGCAACTCATCTCACGTTGTACCACTCTTGTCTGATGGAGGTTTCTAGCTGTTCAGCAGTCCAGGGTCTTCTTTGGTGGTTTTTTTGTTACACAATGTGCGAAATGTTGAGAAATGTTCCTAAAGTCTGTTCCTCATTATTTTTAGTTGCTCCCAATGATTGGAACAAATTGCAACAAACACTAAAGCTCAGTACCTTCGTTACACTATCTGTTCTCAATAGCACATTACAGGTGCACGTGATCGCACCTGCTTCTGATTGCTTACTGCCTGCGCTGTTTGAATAATGTGGAGAATGATCATCAAGTTTTAAATTGTTTTATGATCATTTTAATGTTTGATCGTTTGTATAATTTGCTGCTGCCTCTTGGCCAGGTCGTTGTTGTAAATGAGAACTGGTTCTTAACTCGCCTAATTAAATAAAATAAACGTTAATTTATTTTTTGTTAAATTGATGAGAGTTCTGGACTGCTGGGAGACCAGTTCAGCACCAGGACTGGTCCAGTAAAAAGCTTGTAATGAATGCAGCGTGTGTCAGCATCGTCTTGCTGAAATGTGCAAGACCTTCCCTGAAAACGTCTGAAAATGGAGCATATGGAAATCTAAAACTGGTGAATACTTTTCTGCATTGATGGTGCCTTTTCAGATTAATAAGCTATGCACCCCCATACCATCAGAGAGACTATGATGATGCTAACTGGCCAGATTATTCCTTTTGAGTACACAAGAGTCATTCATACATACA